AAAAAAAAAAACACTCAAAATACATAAACTCTACCCATCGCACAGTGAATGACAGACAAGTTACATTGATATGCATGTGTAAATATGCACACACATATACTTTCTCACACATGCGCACACACACACATACAGATTCACATCCGGCACTTTTCTGATGTCTAGTTACTCTAAACACATTAACAGTAAAGAGCAAGCTACAGTTGCCAAGCGGGAAAGAAAAGCTTCATTATTGGGGAGCGCAGCATGGCTGAATACACCGTCATGATTTCATGACATCCTTTCCCCCGCCAATGTATAAACGTCCTGTAAATCTCAGTACAAAGGGTGACCGGGGTTTTTTAATTAGACCATCAGATGCAATAGAATATTTAAGACATTGGCTTCTGTTGTCCCATTATGGGTTTCATAATCTGTTTTTCAGCAGTGGTTGCTGGATAGGTCTGATTAACATTCTGAGCTTCGTTATCTGGGTAGATTTATATGGCCAATTATCAGTTGTGATCTCTGACGCCACCTTCTGGTTGTGTTTTTGCATTATATACAGTGCAAAGAGACTACTGGAAAAATGCTTATTTTTAGCACGTTTATATATACTAAGGTTTCAAATAAGTTTTTGAAAAATAAAATGTAAAAATTTGGTTGGAATAATGTTACATTGTCATTCAGTGTAGCACTTATATTTATGTAAAAATTCAAACAACATGCTTATTCTGACCTGTACATATTAAAATATATAAAATAATAAGTGAGCATATATTAGCAATTTTATTGGGTTTTAAATGAGTAAAAAATTCTTACTGACAAATGGGCAAAACATAGGATAGAGGCAAATTTAAAATAAAAAATAAAAAAAGGGAAAATAACAACTAATTAGTATTTGGGGTGAAAGTCATTAGTTTTTTAATGTCATAAACTGATTTTTGTTGTAAATATACCTGACAAGATTGTTACACTGAATGACATTTTAGTGGGTGTCTTCTGTAAATCAGGGAAAAATGTTTGGAAAAACAACAACAGTACGCAAAAAGACCGTTTGAAAAGTGATCTTCTTCCTCCATTCAGATGTAACTATAGCCCGGCAGAGCTTCTCATTCCCCCTCAGCGCGGATCGATTACCTCGACTGCTACTGCGAAGCCACATCACTGGTAACAGCCACAGTATCTATGTAAACTAATCTGCGTCTTAATATTTCATTATTCCCCTGGGAATTATATGCCATGAAAAAAAAAACTGAGGGGAGAAAAGAATAAAAATGCTTGACAGATGCTTTAAAGAAAGTTTAGAGGATGCAGCTGTGAATCACACTGATGTAATTTCTTGCCGCATAACAATCAGATCAAACAATTAGGTGTTTTTCCATCAATACTTCCATTAATAATGTATAATATCGCTTCCCTTTACAATGTTGGACAATGACGGCCTGCCTTCAGATTTTGTCCAATAATTTGAAAAATGTAAATGACATTCTGTATCGGCTCACAGAAAGAAAACCTGTTAAAAAGGCTTTACTGAATCTATAGAAGAAAAAGACAATCCATTGCAGTAGAGTTTTGTAAAAGATTTGTAAAAGTTACACAAAATTTTAAAAACTTCAGTTAAGAAAGACACTGGCAGAGATAATTCAAGACATTGTAAAAGAGCATAATAGGACCACTTTAAGGAAAAGGCAGCTAAATGCCCTCTAAAACACAGCTCGAGCTTGACTATGTGATGTCATAGTTAACGCTCTAATTCTTATTTAACTTTTTAGCTAATTAAGTTCATGGAAGCTCAGGGTTTAAGTTGGTCCGGGGCCGTCTGGGGCTGAGCCCCGGCACACAGACTCGTCATTCATTAACGCCAGACAACATGATTAAAACCTCAGTAAACAAAAATAACTATGTAAACACCAAAACGCAAGTATTATTCTGATTTTATTACATGTGTAAGTGGAGATAGTTATGCAATAATATTAGGTCCCTTACATTTTAGGCGGAACACAGCGCATCTAACAGCAACCAACCGATTCATTGATGATTGATTCCGTGTCTGAACGAATCGGTTGAATGAAAGTTTCATTAGCCCATGCATAAACATCTGATGAATCTGCCGTTTGAACTAATCGGTTGAATGAACGACTCAATGACTCACTCATTAAACGCTCACTACTGGCACTGGCGTTTTAATTTAGTTGAAAAGTATCATTTCCACCATCATTTCTTGTTTGTATATTCAAAAATATTTAAAAGAATCTCATAATATTATTTAATGCAGTTGTATTTTTCAGTGTACATTATTTAATTTGATGACGTATCACATTATTATAATTGAATTTATAGATCAAATGTAAGAATTTGAAATGAAAGTATTTATGAGATTAGTGGGAAAATGCCCTCTATAAAGGTAAAAAAATGTCCTTGGATAAAATATTGAATAGCCTATATAAATATTGAATAAAATGAGAATATTGCTTCAGAATAAATCATTATATATATATATATATATATATATATATATAAGGTCGATACCATAGAGCCCCCCCCCCCACAAACATCAAACACACACATAGCAAATCCCAATTTAACCCCTGTGGAAGCTAAACTGGAGTTCATTATTTGTAGAGCAAAAATTACTGTAATAAGCAATACTATTAAATGGTACATTTAAGTCATTAAGTAAACACTGGCCTTTTAAATATTTGTTCTTAAAAAGAACAATCATTTTATTATTATTATAACAGGAAATCACAAATCATGTACAATCATAAACTTTAGATTTATTTAATCTTGTAAATATTTCTCAAAAAAACGAACAAACCATCAAACCGACACTTCACATATGGCTAGACACAACAAAACTGTAACAGCTGAACAATATAAATGTCAATGTTAGGTGTAAAAAAAAAAAACCTCTTATGAATACCAATGGCAATAAAAACCTTTGTATTTGACTTCTTAAGTAGAAATCCACCTGCTTTTTAAAACCTCTTAAAAACAACATTGCCAAAAACAACTCCAAATAAAAGACAATCAAACTGAAAGATAAACAAAAGGTCAAGAATTCACATCCACAAATACATCATGAATAAAGGCATTGATTATGTTCAGAAACTAAGTGTGTGTTCTTAAATAACTCAAGCACGGCAAGAACATGCCCCCTCTTATCCTAAACAATGATTCTGATATTTTCCAAATAATCAGGCAACATGCAGAATAAACCACTTAAAACAGATGATGTAAAACATATTGTAGTGGTAATTCATGTGTGCTGTGATAACTTGTGATACTCTCAATTGTAAGTCGTACAAACACTAAGGAACAATAGTTGAAAGTTACAAAATTCAAATGGCTTTTTAAAATAAATGAATCAGAAAGAATTCAATCAATAAACAAAAATGATCATTTCAAAAATGATCAGAATACTTTTACATTAAATTTCAAGAAAATGTATTTTGTGCTTCATTGTTTGATGATTTAAAGCTCTTTGAACAGACGGATATGACTGTTCAAATGAATTAGCACACCTAATGCCTGTGTGAATCTTTTGATTGTTTAATCTTTAAAAGTTGAACAGACTGTAAATTGTCTGTCACTTCACCTTGTAAGATGAAGTGCTATGATTTCCATGATATTTCTATGTATTTATTGTTTTATATGCATGATAGCAATTTACAAAATAAATACATTTTACACCACTGCTTAGAGCTGTTCGTAGGGTTTTATTTGCATTTGTATCTTTAGAGCTCTTCATGGCTATTAAACAAATAAGAGTAGCTAAATATTTAATTTTGTATGATGCTACTAACTTGGATTTCAAAACGATTAGAGCTCAACATTTGATCGCTTCTTTTGACAATCAAGATGTTTCTGAAGTAAACTGCCTCCCTGATCTGCTGAACGCAAGCATTTATTCTGTCTCCTGATAATTGTGTTTCATCCTTCAAATAATCTGACCTGACAAGTCAGATGTCGAACATCTCAGCTTCCTTCTCTTTCCAGAAGGCGAAGCTTCGATCAATGTATCTGATAATTTCCTCATTGCTAAACTCTTTAAGCTCATAGATAAGCTTGATGGAGTCCTCATTGGGTTCCTCTTTAATATTTGCTGGGCCCTGTTCGTTCACAGTAGGAATGCATGGGGCTTCTGTCTGGGGGCTTTCAGCTGCTTGCGTTACTATGTTTTCTGACTGTGGTGAATCCTGTGCATGATGACGTTCATCAGGTGATAGTTGAACTTCACTACTACTCTTCTGTAGTTCTGTATCATTTATAATAGCCTCAGCTGAGTTCTCAGAAGTGCCCTGTTGGGTGGCCTTTGCAGAGTCATCTGAAGTTGGTCCTGGGTGTTGATTAGGGACTTCTGGTGGTGAAATACTTGTGAGACTTGCATCAGCTGGAGCCCCTTGCGATATGTTCACGGATGCCTGCAGAACCTCCGGAGGCAGAATAAGCTCAGCCGCTTCCAGCAGCCCGCCGCCCTCCACAGAGTCACCGAAATACTTCACCTTGATATCTTCAAAGCCGTCCGACCAATCGCGTTTCCCGCTCTCAAGGCTCTCCATGACCTCTCGGTGGAACCGGCGGATCACTTCCCACGGGTGACTGCCTAGTCTGTCAAACATCTCGTAGCAAAGCAAGTGGCGGAACTTCCGTTCAGTGCGCGACATGTTCATCTCCAGAAGCTGGAAGTAGCCTAGCATGAAAAGGTCAAGGGTTAGACTCTCATATTGAACCGGAGACCCATTGATGTGGGGAAGGAAGTGCTCGGGCCAGTAGATCATCTGAGCTCGACTGAGTCTGCGGATTTGTCGCGTGGGCACCTGGCTCATAATGGTCCTCCAGTGGCCAAGAAGATTTCCCACCACCTGTCTCTGTTTCATGAAATACAGCAGCTGGTCATCCTCCGTTTGCATGGTGCCGTCAGGCTTAGCCAGGTTGTGATAATACAGGGAATGGGAGTCGTTCTCCTCGACACTCAGAGTCTTCCCTCTACCTGAGCACTTGTAGGATTCAGTCATTGTGTACTTTCTCCAGTGCTCTAGGAACAGAAACACAATCCTCTCCTTGCGCATCTCGATGCACTCCTGGACGTAGCTCAGGTCTGTCTGCACCTCTAGACTGCGGGTGAGATGCTCTGAGGTTAGTGGATTCATAGGCTGGTCATGATGCTCCAGTGCAGATGGTCCAGGCCCAGTGTATGTCAAAGAAGCATGGGACTGTGTTATAGGTTCCTCATTCACCAAAGGTAAATTTAAGTCTTGATCTATCGGCGACCCATCTCCGGCGTGCGAGTAGCTCTCACTTAGAGAAAACAGCAACTCGTCCTCCAAGATGGACTCTGAGGGGTAGCTGCATTCACTTACCGCCGGCAAGGACCTCGTGCGTTTGTATATGCAGTTTGTTTTGTCGTCCTCGTTCTTTGACTGGCTATGGATTTCGTAATTGGCTTTCAGGCTCTTCACAGACACGCCACACTGCTTAATCTCCTTCTCCACCTCCTCTCGAGTGGAGAATGATTGCGATCGGCCAATGCTTCCAGAATTTGAGATCCCCGTCTGGCCCTTTCCACTCTTCAGGCCTTCGTACGTATATCCTTCATTGATAATTTCCAGAATATCGATCTCCTTCCCGCCCAAAGTGGCGAGCAGAATGGCCATGCTTTTGAGCAGCGTGGAGATCTTGCTGCACCAGGCAGGCAGGTCTTCTGCTTGCCCATGAACCTGTTTGGGGTTGACAGAGAAGTGGTCTTGGTTCAAGGCTGCAGACACAGGTAGGAGTTGCTTCAACTCTTGCTCCAGCTGTTCCAGATCTTTCTCCACCTCTGTCACTTTGTGCATGACCTGGAGGTTCTCGATCTGCTTCTCAATGCGGACAAGGTCGTCCTCTGTCATCAGTTCCCCAAAGGGACCCAGTATAGCATTGTGCACGTGTGAATAATGCCAGTCTTGGGCTTGATAGTATCCACTGGCAGCAAACTAAAGTAGGGTCAGAGGAGGATATAGAAGGGAACAAAAACAGAGGTGGGCGTGCCCTTCAGCCTGTGGATCCGGTGTGTTACATACACGCCTTTAAAGCCTCTTCACCCCAAACATTTCAAACTTTACATGAATTTAGTGGTGCGATGATACTGCCTTGTTTTAACTGAATTGACTTTACTTGCAAAAGAAGCTTCAGGTAAAAAAACTAAAATTGCAACAGAGTATGGCAAGACCGCTCATTTGTCTTAGAAATTTATTGTATAGTTTTTGTTAGGATCTGTTAAATATATTAAAAATACTCTGGGTTACTTTTAAATGATTGCCTATGGACACAATCAGTGACATGCTAGTGAATATTACAAACAATAATTTCAATGCAATCTTCAGTTCGTAAAAAAGGAACAAGAACTATATTTTCAGTAAAACACTTACTGTGTATGTAGTAGGCATCAGGCCAATGGGTTTAAAAGTTCGTATTTTTGTAAAAGCACTCGACTATCTCATTAAAAATGGTTGCTACTTGAGCCATAAAGCTGGCTAAACCGTCCTTTTGAGTTGTGACTAAACAAAGTTAAACGTTACCGGCATAATATTTGTGTATGGAGTATGCATAACTCAGCTCCATGTAAATACTTTTTGTTTTCGAGTTGATATATGATACGTCACTTTTTTGTAAGTGTATTTACAGTACATTCCCAATCAGTTTTTTCAAACTGAGGACAATGCTAAATGTATTTCTTGTAATTCCACAGCCTGCCATAGATGTTGTCCATATAGACATTCATTTGAAAATTACCCAGAAGTTCCCTATAAGTGTGAAATTCATGTGTACTTTATCTGTCAATTATATTTAGCTCATGCTTCCAAGAGACTTGACTATATGCACCTGATCTAAAAAACAAAAAAACGAAATGAAAAATACTGAGAAACCTTCAGGACGTTAACAAGATGTATGAAGGATAAAAATAAAGCGCTTAATGAGTAGAATGAGCAAGACGACCAACTGCACTTCGTGCTGTAAGCTCCAGTTGCAGTGTGAAGGGGCTTTGCATCACACCACTGAATCCCCATGTAAAAACTTAGAGCTGTCGTGCACCATCGCCAGTAAGCCACATTAAACTAATACTTCCTTAGTAAATGTCAAACACACTTAGGCTTGTCTTGAGAAGGTCACAACAGCCCCAAATTAAACACTGCATCACTCAACACAGAGTCTAGGAAAAGCCAACCAAATGTCACACTGCAAAACATTCACACCCAAGATGACACCCAGACCAAAACTGAAGATTGAGCTTTATTTTTAGCTTTTAGATTGAGTCTTTCTTTACCATAAGCTGAAAACCTTGTCTGAGCAGTCATTTTAAACTCTTAAAGGTCTAGAGCCAGCTGTAACATGTGTTTGTTTTAGCAGCCATTTGACTTTGCAGTCAAGAGGGACACATCAATATGTTCACAATGAATAAACATAAAGTAGCCAGTAAAAGTGATTCAATAATGCCATCTAAGGCAAGAGTAAGTAATCTGGCCCAACTTACTGGTGTCATAAAAAGCATGTTTCCCTGGACAAAATATATACAAATATACTACTCACACAATATTATTGAGTCGTTGACAAATTATATCTCATCCCAACACTAATTCTCCATCCTTGCATCTATTAACAACAAATTTTTCAGAGAAAAAATCCAGAGCTGCATAAATGTCTGCTCATTCACACAACACTGCTTTATACAATTTCCCATTCATGGAGAAGTGACAGATCACACACATCACTTTTGCAATTAGTAGATCTTGCATATAGTTTTCAAAAGAAGTTGGTGTAATGCATATGGACTATATGGGGGTTACGCATTACACAATTTCTGGCAATATTTTATATTATATATGAACTGACTTTAACTAAAAAACTGTTTTCTATTGTCCTTTTGCATTATCAGCACGTTTTTTCTGTTTAACACTGTAAAGCTGCTTTGACACACACTGTATTGTATAAAGCGCTATATAAATAAAAGTGACTAAAAGAAGTGTGTACACTCAAAACTCACCATGCAGACACCCACTGCTCCGCTATCCTCCATGTAGATAGATCAAACCTCAAACTCACAGCTAAAATTTACACTTGAAATCATGAGCCGTTTAAAATCTAAAGAGGTGATACTATAGCTCACACTTCCAGGACTACAGGAGGATAGCGCAGATGTCAGAAGCTGAGAAAATGCACTCATTTCCATTTATTCATTGTAAAAGTTAAATTGTTAGAGTTAATCTTTATAAACACCATTGTATATACACATTTAACAAACAATTTGAGATTGGCTATGTTCAGAAGGGAATACTAGCTTAAATATGGTAATTGTGTATTCTAAATGAAATATTATATAACATGTCATAACTTTTGGAAGCCCAGTCAAATAAGGCAAGAAATTGTAAAGCACCTTATATTAATTTAATTCATCACAATTGAAATGGAAAGTCAAGTGAGGTGCATTCTATGTATAACGACAATTTGCATACTGTGCACAGAATTTATCTACTGCAGATACAGTAGTATGTTAGTATGCTATTCCGAGCGATTATTTAACATGCTTAAGGACCCCATGAAATGCCTTGACAGTTTTCTCTCCTGTGTTGATGGATATCCTACTGAAACAGGAAGTGGGGGCAATATTGGGGAGCATTTCCCATGTTTAAAAAAAAAAGGCAATACTATATAGTTTACAAAACATCCCGAAAAATATCCTCAGCTTGTAAAATTGACAAAGGAATGAATAAATATACCAGCAGCTTCCTTTGTAACCAATTAATGGTTGGGAAAGCACATTATATGGAAAAACTATGCAACCAAAGACACAATTCACACTTTCGATTAGGAAACACAAATCACTATTAACTAATTGCCTCAACAACTACCTTACTTACTATCAATAAGCAGCAAATTAGGAGTTTATTAAAGGAAAACTCTTAATAGTGAATATGTGTTCCCTAATCTAAAGTGTTACCAGACACACCGATGAACTATGATTTGCTTCTTTCTAATGCGAGTCAGAGGCAGCTGTCATTATTAGGGAGTGGACTTTCTTATTCTAGGAAGCATTTTAAGCGGCAAAAATTTGTCATCGGTAATTTATACCAGATAATAAAGACTATTTTCGTGCGTGCATGTACATGTTGTCAGCTCTTAGGAATTTACTAGCATATAAATGACCTTAAAAGCATGGATTGATTCCGTGGGGTCTTTAAGTATGTTATGAAGCTGTGATTTGAAAGCTTTTGTTAACGTGACTAAATGTTGAAATCTGGATAAGAGATGCACTGCCTCAGCTTACGTTGAAAACACCCAGCTGTCTCATCACTCACCTTTCTCTTGTTCTCTTCCTCCTCCTGCATCTTCACTTGTAGTTTCCTCACCATCACCTGTCTCTTCCACTCTGGGATAGCTCGGCCCTGCTCGTCATGTGTGGGCACCAGACTCTCTACGTCCACCACGCTGGACTTGTCCTGGACAACAGGAGTATTTCCGTTGACAGCGGTTGTGAGCTTCTCGCTGCTCTGTGAGGTGTTGTGGTTCTGGGGCGACCCACCGCTGCTCGTGGGACAGACAGGCGGTGGAGATTGTGGCTTTGCAGATTGGGTGTCGTCGGGCTGGGGTTTTGGCAGAAGCTCTGGCGGCGATGACGGACATTCCCCCTTAATATGTGAAAACGATCAATCAGAATAGAATGGTCCAGAAGAAAATATAGATATGGTCACAGCTGGCTTGAATAAAAACACTCTTCAATGGTTCTTCATAGCATCTAAAGATCAGCAAATAATTCTCATCTTCTAAAGAATCAAGTTCACTTGAAATGAGATCTGTGCCGATCACTGTGTTTTTGGCTGTATAAATGTCATTGTTTTTTATTGTTCTTTATTTATTTTTTTACAATAAACAATTTTGTTAAGCTTGCTATTTGATCTCCAGTGCAAAATTAGTTGATAACCTCTCCTCTACTTTTTGAGAACCATTCTTTTTTTGTATTATAATATAATATAATGTTCCTGTGGTTCAGTGGTAGAGCATTGCGTTGGCAGCGCAAAAGGTCGTGGGTTCGATTCCCAGGGAACACACATACTGGTAAAAAAAATGTATAGCCTGAATGCACTGTAAGTTGCTTTGGATAAAAGTGTCTGCTAAATGCATAAATTATTAATTAAATTATTAAATTATAATATGTTTGTGTTCATAGTGTTCTGGAATTAATTAAAAATGGCTAATAATAATAAAAACCAATTATGTCTTTATCAAACTCATAATTATAAGTTTGCCATTCAGAATATTATAAAAGCTCTGTTATAAAACGGATAGTTCCGGTCCTTGATTCTGATTGGCTGAGCCGCGTTCGAAGCTGTTGTAAATTACTCTACAAACATACACCTTTGTTTACTTCTGTGTGTTGCTCGGCAACCACTTTGTTGGAACCACAACTGTTTCTGAGGAACTACATTGTTTGGTGGAAGAATACTGTTTTTATTTATTTCATTACACTTTATTTGCTCAGTTTTATTTTGTGAAACCTTACTACGTATATGGAATAACCGTTTTATAAAAGCAAGAAGCCCTGTGAAGCCGTGGTTTACAGTGAATTTATAACAGCTAAACTACGCTTCGCGTCTTACCTAACAACGCCACTTAGCTGTTCTAAATTCACTGTAAACCACGGTTTATCTGGTGCTCTTTATTAATCTCGTCAATATAGAGAACACAGATGAGAATAAATATCATAAACAGAGACATCTTGTACTTATGATACTTGCAATTGTTACTCACCATAAAATGTAGGGGGGAAAAATGGTAACACTTTATTTTAAGGACCTATTCTCACTATTAGCATGCATATTACTAGCATATTGGCTGTTTATTAGTACTTATAAAGCACATATTAATGCCTTATTCTGCATGACTTTATTCTAGATCCCTTAATCCGACCCCATACCTAAACTTAACAACTAATTATTATTAATAAGCAGCAAATTAGGAGTTTATTGAGGGTAAAAGTCATAGTTAAAAGTGAATTAGTGTTTCCTATTCTAAAGTGTTACAAAAAAAATAGTTTGACTGTTTGTTAAACAAATATAATTTAGATAAGCAACCACAGAACTGTCAGAGTGTAATTTATTTCTTGAAATTATTGGCCAGTTAATGAAGGTAGATAAAAGAAATTTGAACGCTCTTCTGTCGTTTCCTGAATTATGTAACTTTAATAAATTGTGCTATTGTATTTCAGCAGAGTTACACAAGCCTGAATTATCCTGCACAATGGATTTGATGCCAGATCACTGAGCTGCACTCTTATAACGCTCCAAACTGCAACTCTATAATCTGAAACTAACTTTGTTTTGGATTATTTCATTATTTATTGTGGCTGCAGAAGTTATATTTTGGGAATACTGATCCATATTTTAATGTATCCATCTCCATAATGATAACTGGAAATTATTTCAATTCTTATTGAATACAGAATTCTTTTCTCAGTGTTTTAAGTAATATCAATCCATAACGGGGACTCCTGTTTATTGTTATCTATATGCCATATATAATAATCAAAGGCTGCATGTAGACAACCGCTATAACTCATGAGACAAAGTACTTTTAATTTATGAGATTAACCATTAAGAATTTACATTACAAAACATTACAATAATAATAATGTTCTTGACAGGCTTCAGAAGATTCACCCTCATACGTTAAGGCTCTCCAAGAAATGTTTTCACTTCGTAGGCAAGAACTAAATTTGTGAAAGTAAGGGAGCGTGACCTACATTGTTCGCCGCTGTGCCGTTGTTGGAGAAGACGGTCGTGTAGCCTTTACTCTGAGGTGTTGGCTTCAGTTTTGGCCCAGCTTTAATTTCAGCCAGAAGCTCAGAATTATCTCCAGTGGGGGACATCATGTTGAAGGATTTATTGCCTGAGATAAAGACAGAGGGAAACTGAGCCAGGATGGATGGATGGATGCATGAAGAGAAAGAGAGAGACACACACACCGGACAAGCTTCTCCCCTAAATATTTAATTCAATGCGTCTAAACAAATGTCTAAAGCAGTCAGTAACTCATTTGCTGGTATGAAATAGTTACTAATGAAATGAATCCACTCACTGAATGAAGTATACAAAAATAGGAGAGACTAAGGTAAAGGTCAATTTGAGAACGAATGAACAAAGGAAAAAGAACAGGCCTTTGTTGAAGTTTCAACCATCAGAATGATTTCAAATCTATGACATGTTCGATTGCTCTGACCACTGCTATGTATAGTACAATACAATAATATTTATAATTCTTTTCAGCAAATTTAGTGAATTTGACCGAAAGAATGATATTGGCTGGCAAATGAGGACAAATTTGATTTTTTGAGCCTGAAAATATGGAACTTATTCAATTAAAGATTGTTATATAACATAATCTACTTGACCAAAAGTGGCCTCTGCTCTTTAAGTTTTAGTCCCATAATACATTACAGTGCCAGGAAACAAAGGCTTGCTGTACCCAGTGTCTAATAACAATCTCTAAACAATCCACAATCAACAAATGTATACAAATGAAATAAAAACACTTAAGTTAAGGAGAAAAACGTGACATACACTTATAACCAGAATGTTTAATCCACCAAAAAACTTTCTAAATATACGTGATTGCTGATAGCTACAGGTATAAATAGAGCATAAATCTACCCTGCACAAAACCCATCAAAAATAAATAAATTAATCTGAATTTAAAATGTATAAGTACTCAAACTCTCAACATAATTTATTTTCTTCTTCAACGTAAGAACTGAAATAAACTAAACAATATTGCTGAAGAAATAATAAAACAAATCTACATCACCTGTTGTTTTTTGATTGAAATCTCCAGAGTGTCTTGTAACAGACGTGCTATTGTTTTGTCATAGCTGTGGTCATGAAAAGGTCTTCTCAGACTTAGAGAAGCCGTTTAGATCTACAACCCCCTGATTCAAACTGTCCTCTCCTCCCGCAAGAACAAAAACCACTGCGTTTGCTTTCTGCCGGTGGCTCATCACAGTCGGGGGAAGTCTGAACGGATCAGCAGTAATCAACTCTGACAAGAGACGGCTGCCAAATTGGAGCTGACCTCACGTCCTCTCCTCACTCACACTTCTTCCTCCGATCAGCTGCCTCCAGCTCTCCAACTCACAGCCAGGTGAGTGGATTAACAGAGTCTCACACACCACGCTGAGTCACACATAAACGGCGAGCGACAGGCCCGAAAAAGTACACTTTCTGTTGATGTTTTGTTCATAAGATGCTTATAAATCCATTCATATCCTACAAATGACCATGCAAACACATTCCCTGCCTCTTAGCTACTTAAAACTGGTCTAGTCCTGATCAGCTTAGAGTGCTAAAAACCAGCAAACAAGACCAGCCAAGAAAAACAACACTAGATGAAAATAATAAAATGCTACTAACCACATACAATAGCAAAACTATAGCTTATCAGCTTTTTAAAGGATGCGTGTGCATTATTTTGGAACAAATGAACTGTAACTTGGTAGAAACTAGTCAAATTAGAGAAATGCTGACATGGACAGGTTGTGTGTCATGCCCTGATCCTCAAAAACCATTAGCAAAGCAAGAAAATATGGCGAAGATTACAAACATACAATTCTGCAACTCTGTGGGCTCATCAAATGAAGTAAAAAAAATAATAAATGTTGAGAACCAACAGTGTTCATATTTGTCAAGCTGTCCATTTCAATAAATCGATTCAACTCTGAAGAATCTGAAGAGTTCTGCATTTCTGACATATATAAAAATGTTTAATCGAAAAATACATGAAGGTAAATATTGCTGGTAATTACTATGCAGTGTTATATTGATGCATATAAATGGAAATGACTGTATATCATTTCTCCTTGTATTCTTTTACCCATTTCTATGGAAGCCTGTTTCCGCCACTGAAAAAAAAGAGGTTATTTTTTATCTTTTTATCTCACAATTCTGACTTTTTTTCTTATAATTGCGTGATATAAACTCACAATTGCAAGATAAAGTCAA